CTGACACGGGCAAACAGGCTTTCTGATACCTTCTTCTTCAGTGTTGACATTTTGTCACTGTGTTTGTAACTCGACGCCAAAGTTGCCCGTTGCGTGTTGCCAGTTGCCTGTTCCGCACTGGAAACCAAACACTGCTCAAACAGTGCCCCTCTGATGTTTCCACTGAAAAAAACTTTGCACTCCAGTTTGGTTTCACTTGCAGTGAGCTACTCAGTTTTGACACCGCTCTTCTCAGCGAGGGCACCTTCTTCTGCGAACAGCAAAAGAAGTTTCAAATTTACAGTTTTTGTTTTACTTTAAAGAGTGTGAAGAGTGTTAGGCTGAGAGAAAAATAAAGATAGAGAAGTTTTCAGTGAAGCCCAATTTAATTGTCAAACAGTGGACGATCTGTTTGATAAACACCTTGTTCGCAGCTATTTTACGTTACACGGCTGACAGATAGACAGGCAGTCTTTCTTTCTTCGGTTCTGATCATCTTGTTTCTCAGTGCTGCTGCAGAAAGAAGAGCACACTGGCACTCAAAGGCAGTGCCGTCGGCGCACTTGGTCCCGTTTGACCTTGTCCAGTGTAGTTCCTCCAGTCGGTGCTGCTTCTCGCACAATTAATTAACTTGACAGCTCTTAGTGGGCCACATCTAGGCTGCTGCACTGCTGGCCTCTCGCTTTCGGATCGATGATGCCTTCTCAGTAAATGATCTCCAGCATCAGAGACTTGGAAAGTTTTGAGCTCTCTGAGAGCTCGTGTCTCGGTGATTATATACCTTGTGGCCACAAGGAGGGGAAGAGGACACCAAATGAGGTGGACTTTGGAAGTGAGGGAGAGAAAGAGGATCCAATGGAAGTATGTGGAGAATCTTTTTGGCACTCTCTGTCGAATCGATCACTTGTCTGTGAGCAGTACAGTGTTCTCTCCTTCCATTTATCACACTGTCGGTGTGTCCACCACTGCTGGTCAGCTCCACCGAGTTCGGGAAAGCACTGGCCAGTGGGCATCGTGTCCACTTGTGCCCCTCATCAGTGCACGTACACGTATTTCTAGGGCGAACTGAGAGAGAGTGTGAGCGGGAATCCATTTTTCAAGCGGCAGCAATAGCAATAGCAACAGCAAAGAGAAGAGCACCTGAGGCTAGTCGCAATTCTGCAAAGCAAACTGCCGAACAAGTTTGAGTTAGCTGCAGCACTGCTAATGGAAGCAATTAAAAGTGAAGATTAATGAATTATCGGTCCAATAAATAAGCGAGTAATTGTCCTCACTGACTGACCGTGCTTTCTTCCATCGGACAGCTTCTTTTTCTCATCTGGAGCCCAATTAGTGTTTTCTCAGTGGGGAATTGCTCTACTTTATTTGAAAAACAACAAAACAGTGGACTTGTTCTTAGTGTGCAGACTATTTAGGTAAGACGTTTTGGAACAAGTGCTTTCTATTTAGAATGGCAAAAAAGCAAATAATATAATTTTCTTTATGACAGCAGTTTAGTTTTATAGTAGAGCATTTTTGTTTCTCAACCGATTACCGAAGAAAGAGAAGTTGCAGTGTGTTTGTGTGTGTGTTTACCGTGGCAAATTGCAATTTGTTTGGCTTATTCTCAACTCTTCATTCTAAAATGCAAACTGGTAGTGGAAATGACGGCATAATCCACTTGGCGCAGTCTGTGGAACGTCGTTGTAGTGCTGTTGATAGTCTTTGATCATCGTCCTTCCAGCACAGCAGCAGTGTTTCAGTGCAGGTCTGTCTTCTAGTGGCGAGGACAGTGGCGAGGACAAGTGACAAAAACGGCACTGCAACCGCTTGTGGTGACAGTCTTGTGGCTNTATCGTCCTTCCAGCACAGCAGCAGTGTTTCAGTGCAGGTCTGTCTTCTAGTGGCGAGGACAGTGGCGAGGACAAGTGACAAAAATGGCACTGCAACCGCTTGTGGTGACAGTCTTGTGGCTAATAGTCATCGGGCTATTGTCACTGGCAGCTAATGAGCAGTGAGCATACTGGTGATTGATGAGCACCAGCGATGGCGGTGTCACTCCACTCACTTTCTTTCTCGCAGTCTTCCAATGCTGGTCCAAAAGCTGGGCACAATGAAGCCATAGAAGTGTGATGATAGTGTGGCCAACAAAAGCTGACAAAGGGGGCAACCAATCGGGCAATTGGCACTCACTCTGCGGAGAGTGTGATTGCGGCAACGAGAGAGAGAAAGAGGAAGAGAACGAACTGAACACTGCACCGATTGCATTGATTGCACTCCATTTCGATGCAAATCAGTGGCGATATCTCGATTGGCGAATCAATTACCAGGCAGATGTTTGCACATGCACACACACACACAAACAGACACACAACACTGATAAATCGAGAGCTTGCTCTGAGCATCTAACACCTATGTCATGACCGGACAGCAAAACCAGAGAAAGGCACCACCACCACCAGCGTCTGCGTTTGCCGCAGATGAGTGAGAGAGGTAGAAAGCCTGCTCTTCGATCTGCTCTCGTTAATGGGCGAGCTAATTTTTCGCTCATAAATCAAACTCGTCGCATCAAGGCACATTAGTCAGTGCGTGCAGTCCTTTGGTGAGTCTTCGTCTTTCTCTTTCGCTCTCAGTGTGCTTGTCTTTGTGCTTGTGTTTGCCGTGCGGCACCACAGACGCAAGTGAATCGGGGAAATCGCACACACGCTAGCAGCTAGCGTCCGTTTGCTTCCTAAGCCCCTTTCGAAGCAGTGCTCCCCTGGCTTTCCAGTTCAGTATAGCTGAAGTTCCTCGAGTGGGTTCGCTAACCAAATCCGCGACCATTCATAGATGTGCAGTCCATTGAACGACGACGAGATGCCCGCTAGTGTCTGTTGTTGTTGTTGCTGCTGATGTTGCCGTCGTCGATGTGCTGCACTGTCTGTCGAGCGATTGGCTAATTAATAATTTATGCGTGCTTTCGCTAGAACCAGGCACCATCGGTGCGCTCCTGCTCTCCCTGCAGAACTCGGCAACGTTTTACAGTGCTTGTGTGTGTGTGAGTTGTGTTGTTTTGTGTGCCTTCTCTTGTCATGCCAATAATTGCTAGGCTACTTAATTACTGCGATCTAAGAAACAATGATTTATTGCCATCGAGTCAGTCAATTCGATCAGTGATTAACACGCCAGATTGGCATTCTCCGTTTTGCAGCATTACTCTCAGCTCGGGCTCAGGTGAAGTCTCAAAGGAGAGAGAGAGAGAGAGCCTACTCTTCTCCTCTTCAAAAAGCCATAACTGCGAGCTATCGACTTACGGCTGACTTTCGTCACTCATATTCCGCTCTACCTGTCGCCTTCATCGGGTTAGACTGGCGCCTTCTGTTTACTCTTTTATCTGCTGAATGGTTGCGTGGTGCATGGCTGTACTCTACCACCACTGCGGTCAGACAGACAAAAAGGCCAATTAAACTTGCTTCTGCACAGGTTGTTCTCCACTGCGTCAGCACTGCTTCACCGAGGCTAAGATTTATTTGATTTGGTCATGCATCAACAACAGTAGGGAATTGCATCGCAGTAGCGTTTCAGTCGATGACAGTTGCCATTGTTGCCATTGCGCCAGAGATCGCCTGACCAGCTACTCGCTGCTAATTAACGCGCGTTGACAGTGCAGTGCTTCCTTGCTATCTTCAGCAGCTTTCACTTGCTGCTTTTCCCTGCCAAGTGCTGCTTTTCTTAGATCTTCCTTTCAACAGTGCAGCTACTGCTGATTCTGTTGTTGATGTTACCCTGGCGTTGACTAGCTGACTGCATCCGATTTCCACAGCTAGTGAGAAATTGTAAACCACCGCCGTTGAGATACTGGAAGATATTGGGAGAAAGTTGGTCTGGCACAGTGGTTGCAGTGAATGAAGTGACTGACAGTGTGTTCTGGGCTTGCAGTTTAAGGCTGACACAAGGGGGAATAGTGCACACAGACAAACAGTGCTGAACAGCCGCTGCAGATGACATCGCAGTGATAGGCCCCGTAAGTGCCGGTGGCCAATTAATAACTCATCGTAGTCGATCAAACCAATCATACAAGTCAAGTTGTGTGTGTGTGTGCGTTTGATGTTGCAGAATCGCGAGCCCCTTTCTGCTGCTGCTTCTGCCTGTGGCAGTGCAGTGTTGTTCTTCAGTGCGAGCACTGTGGCGTCGTTAATCTACTCCACCCGAAAATGTAAAACTCGATCTGATTTGAGGTGTGGTTTTTCAGTGTCTATGACTCTCTCGGTGTGTATGTGTGTGTTGGCAGTGTTTTTGGTTTGCCTCAGTGGAAAGAACACATTCGAGAATTGATGCTCGCTCGGCGGATTGTGTTGCACTCACAGACACATTGCACTGTACACCGTGCAGATCACAATTAAATCGTAATGACACCGATAATCGCCAAATCGGGCTGAGCACTAGAAAAAACTTTTTTCTTTTTCTTCTCCTCTTTTTGCTCTTATACACTTTTTTCTTTGCGAGGGGAAAATGGGGGATCACGTTAACAACAACAAGCATAGCAATGGCGCGCGTCATCGTAGTACATTTCAGCTCTCTTTGACGTGGAGCAGCAGATGAATCGGGCCCAATTAGTGCAAGCTCGTCGATAGATCGATCAGTCTCAGGCAAAGTAGTACAAGTGTGTGTGTGTGCTGCCAAAAAGAAAGCAGTTCCCGTCTATCTGACTGTGTTCCGTCCGCCGACAGTGCCGTTTCCATTTGGGTAGTCCTGCCGCTGTTACTGCAGCAGCAGCGGCAAATCACTTCTTCGCATGACACTTTGATTGCCGTGTAAGCGTACGCGTGTACTTTTGTCACTCGGTCAGCACACGGCAGCAAAACATCGTCACTGGCCGTTTTGCAGCGATTAGTAAGCCCATTTTCTTTCCCTCTCTTTCGCTCTCTCCCAACTGTTTTCCCCTACCGCTTCCTCAACTTTCCTCTGCCTTGCCCCATTGGATTGTGTCTAATCGTATGCTCCTCTATTTCTCTTCCCCTCTTCTACTACAGGAGCCACCTCGACTGGGCGGAAATCCACTGGCAATGTTGACTGCACAGTGCAATAAGCTCGCCTCGAAAACGCCTCCGCCGCTAGCCGACGCCGCCGTGGGCAAGAGTTTCCACCCCTGGAAGAAGGCCACTCCGCCGCTGGGCAGTCTGGGCAATCCATCGCCGCCGATGAACAACAATAACAATAACAACAACGCCACACCGTCGCCTAACTCGGCGGCGCCGCCGAACGCCGGCCTGCCCCCGCTGCGCTCCTCCAGCGCCTCGGGCATGGTGGCCACCAGCAACTCGGTGGTCAACTCCAGCAGTAGTCAAATGAACGCCAACAGCAACAACAGCTACGCCTCACAGCGATCGCCCAGTGGAGGTGGTGGGGGAGTGGGAGGCCCGCACAGTATTGCCACTAGCAATTCAAGCGGATACGGCGTTCACGAGAACCTCTTTCCCTACACCTCCACGGCCAACAGCTGTGTCATGTCAGACGGCAGTGGCGGAGGCGGCGGTGGTGGCGGCGGCGGTGGTCAGTCCTCTTCTGCCAGCTTCTTCAGTAAGATGCACGCAGAGACGACCAGCCCGCACCACCACCACCACCACCTGGGCAGCCACCAGCTGTACCCGAGGATGAGCGCCAATCCGTACGTGGACAGCTGGCCCTTCAATGCGATGGCCAACAGCGGCGCCCACCACCACCACCACCACTCGGCGATGAAGAGCGATCCAATGGGCGTGGCCATGGGCGGCAATGGATCGCTCAACTCGAGCTGGTGGGGCGACCAGCTGCCGACCAGTGCGGGCACCAGCTGGCTGCAGATGGAGATGGCGCCCGGCGCCGGCTCCTCCCTTCACGCCTCCTCACTGCAGCCCAACTACGGCTCGGCGGCGGTGGCCGACTACGCACTGGCGGCAGCCGCGGCCAGCAACCCTGGCTCGCATCTGCTCTCCTCGGCGGGCGTGCAGACGCACCAGCTCCTGCAGGACTCGTACTCGAAGATGGGGCTGCCCGGCGCCGGTCAGGTGAGCGCCGCCTCTGCCTTCGGCAGCCTCTCCCAGGCGGCCTCCAGTCTGCCCGCGTCGCTCACGGCGGCGGCCACTGGCGGCGGCGGCGGCGGCCCGGGCGGCTCCTCGGTGCCCTCCTCTCGGTCGCAGCGTCGCTACACCGGCCGGGCCACCTGCGACTGTCCGAACTGTCAGGAGGCGGAGCGGCTGGGCCCGGCGGGAGCGGCCCGTCTGAAGAAGAACATCCACAGCTGTCACATTCCCGGCTGCGGCAAGGTCTACGGGAAGACGTCTCACCTGAAGGCGCACCTGCGGTGGCACACCGGCGAACGGCCCTTCGTCTGCAATTGGCTCTTCTGCGGCAAGCGCTTCACCCGATCGGACGAGCTTCAGCGACACCTGCGCACGCACACCGGCGAAAAACGGTTTGCATGTCCCATCTGTAATAAACGATTCATGAGATCTGACCATTTGAACAAACACGTGAAGACCCACAATAGCAATGAAGCAGGCAGCTGCGGCGGCGCCGGCAAAAAGGAAAACGGCAACCTGAGCGACAGTGAGAACAACAACCACCACCAGACGGTGACCGGCAGTCAACTGACGCCCCCCGCCACCTCCCCTGGCGATATGCACATCAAGTGGTGACCGCAGAGCTGACCATCGTTTTGCTGACCATCAATAGCCCGGGCCCTCCTCTTTCTCTCACTGTCTTCATCGCCTGCTGAGGACCACCGCCGTCGGAACCTGTACCAGTGCCGGACCAGCTGATCGCCGCCTGCCACCGCCGACGTATAGCCGAACCGCCATCCACCGTGGACCAGAGGCCCATTTCAGCCGCCTTCAGTGGCTACCTCCTATTCCTTTTCCTCTTTCTCCCTTTTCCTTCTCTTCCTCTTTCTCTACCTATTGACTTTCCACTTTGACTTCTACTACTACTACTACTTTTGAAGGAGTGCTGATTTTTCTCTCTTTTTCCCCAATTTTTCTCCTTCAGNCCTCTTCCTCTTTCTCTACCTATTGACTTTCCACTTTGACTTCTACTACTACTACTACTACTTTTGAAGGAGTGCTGATTTTTCTCTCTTTTTCCCCAATTTTTCTCCTTCAGCTTTGTTCTTTTTTCCAATTTTTAATTCTTCTAGTTCTGTAAAGTACGAGTAGCATTGCTTTCCTCTTTCTGTACATACTGCGCGAGTGTGACTTTTTCTTCTTATGAAGTCTTTTTTCTTTCTTGTTTGTGCCTGTGCTTTCATCTTCTGCTATTATTCTTTTTCCTCTTTTTTCTGGCACTGCAAATGTAATTTATATCTTTCATCCTATATACCTGCAACTCTAATATTAATAAAAACAATAATTGATAATGATGATAGTAATAAACCAATGCCGTATATCGGCATATGAACGCACCATTCACATTTAATCATTGAGCAAGTACAGTTGAATTTGACTTGCTTAACACAGCCGGTCAAACACTCAAAGAGCGACACTCAACACAAGCCGACTGCGCGACCAAATGTGTCTAATTATAATGCCACTGAGTAAATTAATTAAAATTAATTACAATAATTTACATTTCAGCCAATTATAAGGTAAGCTTCGATGTGGCAGTGGCAGTGTCGTCTGTTCCTCGCCATTGTCTGCCTCATTGTGCTTCTGTGTCGCACATTTACTGATCGGCATGTTAAGCTCTCGTGCGACATTAAGCAATGATTGTGTATGTGTGTCGAGGCGATAGAAACTTAATAAATATACACACACACTGTTTGAACGTGGCAGGCAGAACACACAGTCTTAATTGGCTAATTCCCAAAGTCCCTTCTAATGACAATTTATTTTAATTACCATGCACAAGACGTTTGACGCCGGCGTGCATGGCAGTGCAGTGTTCACTGATCGGTGCTGTGCTGTACTGTGCACATTTGGGTGCTCTCAGCCATTCACAGTCATATTCATTCAGGCCATCATCATTCTTCGAACTCACCCCGCAATCAGTAACTCCAAGCTTCGATGAGTTTTCCTTAAGTAGCCATTTCATGGCCAGGTTTCAACCCTTCTCCTCAAAACAACATTTGGAGGTCCTAGCCGTCCAGTGGCTACTGCTAATCCTTAAGTGAGATCTCAACAGACTGTACCTTCAATTGAATCAGATTAAACCCATGCATTGTGCACTTTAGCCATTCAAGGGTGTAATTAATTTTTTGCTACGATAAAATTGAAGATCAGATTTATAAGACGAGTGCTGGCCTCCAGTGGTCATTCCCGACAGTTTTTAGTCAACATTGGTAAAATCAAACAAAATTGGCCTTCTGGTTGCAGCTACTCAGACAGCGATTGACTCTCTGAGAAAAATTTCCTCACTCAAGGGCCTAGCCATTGCAGACAAGCTAGCCTGGGGCCTGACTGATGATGAGTCAAAATGATCCTTTGGGGCGATAATTGTTTGCTTAGCGGTGGCGCCTTTCGGCACACACNTTCCCGACAGTTTTTAGTCAACATTGGTAAAATCAAACAAAATTGGCCTTCTGGTTGCAGCTACTCAGACAGCGATTGACTCTCTGAGAAAAATTTCCTCACTCAAGGGCCTAGCCATTGCAGACAAGCTAGCCTGGGGCCTGACTGATGATGAGTCAAAATGATCCTTTGGGGCGATAATTGTTTGCTTAGCGGTGGCGCCTTTCGGCACACACACACACAGACAACACTGCACCACTGCCCACAAATGTTCATCCTCCCGGAGGACTACTGAAGACAGGAACGGTGATGGTGATGGTGTTAGCACTGTCAGTGAGTGTCTGACTGGTGGTGACTGGTGTGTTTGTGTACGCTTGTGGCTCAGTGGCTCACTTATCAATCAGCATTTGGTGGGCCGCCAATAAAATATGCAAACAAGCGCAACGCGGCCCGACCACCGTCGGCAGTTGGCACTCGTTTGAATGGCAGCCAAATGATAGCTCATTAATAGGGGGTTCCACCATTGTCTTCCACCATTCTCTCTCTCTCTCTCTCTCTCTCTCTCTCTCTCTTTCTTCTTTTTCTTCGGTTGTCTTCGTTCCACTTTGCTCGCCACCACCAAGTCGCGCGAGCACTCAGCATCCACCACCACCAGCACCGGTATCGGCAGCAGCAGCAGCAGCAGCAACAACCGTCTTCGTCCTCGCATCATCATTATCGTCATTATCCTCATCGACGAAGGCAAAAACACACTTGCAAGGAGAGGTAAGTGATTAAAGCTCGCACAGACTGTCAAGAGCAAGTCAGCTTGGCGTCACCTAGACGATTTCTCTCTATTCTCTCCAGTCAGTCAGTCATTCGAGTCAGCCAGAGTCAGTGCGGCGCCAGCAAGCTGCAGTTCGGAGGCAGCAGCAGCTAACAAGAAGCAAAAGCTGAAAAGCAGAAAAAGAGCACTCAGAGTCAGAGAGTGGAAATGCAAAGTGGATGTATGCAAATTTGTACGCGCAACTATTAGAGCGATTAATATGTCGCCATTAGTGCTGCTGGCAGTGGCTTGTGAGATTTTGTAGTGGAGAAGAAGCAACAGAAACAGCAGCAGTCTCGATCAGATTGACAACGGCACCAGTGCGACAGACGCCAGCAGAGAAGAGTGGTGGACTTCGTCGAGGAGGCTTGATGATGATCATTGCTGCTGACTAATTGGCCACTCGTCGCATCGATTTGTGTCCGCCACCACTGCCGCTGTGCGAACTTAAGCTCCACTGCCGAATTAACATTTGACTATTTGCATATTCGCACAATTTACATGGTCCTCAGAGAAAAGGACACCGCGAAGGACATATAGGCGACAGTTTTGCCTGCTTACGTTCAGGCAGTTTTAATCAGCCAAAGTCAGGCAGTGCAGCTAGCAAATGTCACTAGCTAACCAGTTAAAGCACTCTTTCAGGGTCATTTAAATGAAAAATGGTTCTTCTCTGCTGGGAATTATCAGCCACTGCAACAGCAGCAGCGTCGCCTGCCCTCTCCCAAAGCAATCGGTGCTCCCCCGTTCAGTTGAAGTTCAATTCGATGTCTGCATCTATTTGCTCATTGCACTGCTGTCCAGCAATGTTGTTGTTGTTGTTATTGCCTCTAATGCTGTCTGATTCGTCTCGATTGGAGAGTTGATGATTCGATTCTCGACGTATCATCATCATCATCATCGTCCTCATCCTCATCCTCATCGATGTACAGCGAGCACAACCGGTTTGCGGATTGTCATGCAAATTGTGGCCGGCTAATTAAAAGTCAATGGCTGCTGCTGCTGTCAGCGAGACTGACTGAAACTTCGGTGATGGTGTCGTTGCTGTCTGCTGGACCACTGGTGATCGTAGTGGCCACTGCTGATGATGTTGCTGCTGCTGCTCTTGGCCACCAGCACGTCGGACTGACTGCAGCTGAAGAGTGTCTGCAGCTCACAACTCACAACTCGCGCGTCCGAATCAATTCATTGGCAGTTGGTCTGTCGGTCTCTTTCTCCCCCTCACTCACTCACTCTCGCGCGCGGACCAGCACTCTCTTGAGGTCCAGTCTGGCGCTAATCATAGGTTATGCATAACCACAGTGACCGCAAGTGCTTTTGTCATTACCCATCTATAGGCAACAGCAGCAGCGGCAGCGGCAGCAGCTTGAGCGACTAAATGAAGTCGACCAGCGATCTATTCGCCAGCTAATGATAGCGCGGTCTATTCGCGCGTTCGCTCGCTCTTGGACGCGTTCTAGCTGGCTGTAAAGGAAAATTGGTCAATACTCGTCAAATTATACGATGTTGAGGGATTGTGGTTTGTCAAGCTGACTAGACAGCAGAGACGAGCAAAAGTGAAGGAGAGAGAGAGAGAGAGAGAATCAAGCACTGACGAGTCTTCGACTGGCCGTCCAAGTCTGAAGACCGTCGAACGGACGATAATTTGCAACTTTGTGTGTGCTGTGCTCTGTTTGGCAATGGCGAAAGAGAGATCAGTGTGCAGTGCTCTCTCTCTCTCTCTCTCTCTCTCTCTCCGAGAGAGTGTTCGTTGGCAGCTTCTTGAAAGGTGGCCGACACTGCCGACGACGACCGACCGACAATCGTCATTCGGCGACCGATTGACTGACTGGCCATGGCGTCGCCTCTAATGGTCACCACCATCTGAAGACACCGAAGATGGGGTCCAGTCCAGTGCAGTGTCTCGGTGTCGTCTCATTGCCCGAATCATCTGCTCGTGCTCCTATTTGCACAATTTGCCCAACTGTCCATCTATGACTATAACGCCAACCTTTTGGCTTTACCAGAGCAAACCAACACAGGCAGTCAGACACTGGGACTCGATTCTATGGCAACGAGGACAATGTTGCAGTGCTGTGCAAAACAAATGGACAGCGGCAGCGATGGGACCAGCACGAGAGTAGAGCAGGGCAGACTGAGGACAGATTACATTGGACTGAGCGGCACTGTGTGCCATAATTTGCATGTTGTTCGCCAGTCTCTGTCCGGCTGCCAAAACAGATGACTGACCAGTGGAGACTGAAGTTGAAGCAGGCAAGAGAGAACGAGAGTCTGAGTAGGCAAATAATAGTGTCAATGATTCAAAGCCAATTTTGTTCACTTTTTTCGTGCCGATTGTCATTGATCGAGACTAGACTGGCTTTGGCTGCAGCTCCTGCTGGACTGGCTGAGC